TCGATTCTTGTGAAGCCGACGTGATTGCCGTGACCGAGACTTGGTTAAATGCTCATGTTTGCGATAACGAAATTTTTACTGCTTCCAAATCGTTGAACATTTACCGCCGCGATAGAGACGGAAGACAAGGTGGTGGCACTTTGCTTGCCATTTCGAAGCGTTTCAAGTCCTTTCTTATAAACGTGACGTCTACATTGGAAGTGATATGGTGCGGGTTGGTTGTGAATAATAAAACGCTTGTTCTTGGCGTCTGTTACCGCCCTCCAGATACAGACATCAGCTTTGTTCAGGAGTTTCACGATAACATTAATGAAATTACAATGCGGTACCCATCTTCTTCGATAACTATTCTCGGTGACTTCAACTATCCTACCATAATGTGGGCGTCATCGTTACCAGAAGTCGTACCATTTTCTTCAAATGGCCAATGTTTTCTCGATACTTGCAACCTGTTAAATTTTACGCAGATGGTGAATAACCCAACTCGCGTCACCAATTCTTCATCGCACATTCTTGACTTGATTCTTACAACAATGCCCGACAACATTCATGCACTAAACTCACTTCCTGGTCTCAGCGATCACTGTCTGCTACATTTTTACATACGCAACAGCATGCCAACTGCTACTAAGAAACGCAAGGTTATCTATAACTACAATGCTGCAAACTTTGAGGCAATCAACAACAAACTCTCTCTATTTTACGACACTTATTTACATGACTTTGATAATAGAACCGTGCAGGAAAACTGGGATCTGTTTGTTAACAAAATCTACGAACTTACTCGCACCTTTGTTCCCTTAAAGTCTATACCTGTGAGCTCTTGCTCACCCTGGTACAATACATACCTAAAGCGACTTTCTAACAAAAAGAAACGCTTGTTTCGTGCTGCGAAACTCCAGAGTACGGAGAAACGCTGGCACTCCTACGAGAGTGCTGCGCGAGTTTACTCGTCAGCAGTTTCGGATGCTAAGGCTAACTTTCTATCTAACACTCTGCCATCAATGCTTGTAAGCAACCCTAGAAAGTTTTGGAAAACTATTACAAATACCAACGACAGTGAAATCGTACTTGTTGACTCGGACGGCCTTCCCGTATCTTCCGAGATGTGTGCAGCACGCCTGAACGAAAATTTTGTCCGGAACTTTTCAGGGTCGTCCACTTCTGCTACCGTCTCTTTACCAGCGCGCAACTATCCATCAACGTCTGTTATAGTGACTGAGGCCCATGGAATTGTAAAACTAATTGAATCGCTCAGAATATCCTCTGCTTGTGGTGTTGACAACATAAACGCAAGAATCCTTAAAGAAACTAAGCATGCCTCATCTATGTTCCTGTGTAAAATATTCCAACAGTCTTTGAATGAAGGTGTGGTGCCACGCGTTTGGAAAGAGGCAAAGGTAGTTCCGCTACACAAATCAGGAAACAAGCATTCTGTTACTAATTACCGACCTATTTCACTTACTTCTATACCATGCAAACTTTTGGAGCACATAATTTTCTCTTACTTGGTCAACTTTCTAGAATCAAAATCGTTCTTTAGCACGTCACAGCATGGATTTAGGAAGTCATTCTCATGTGAAACGCAGTTGCTTTGTTTTACCCATTCGTTACATATCATTCTAGATCGGAGTTCACTGGTCGACTGCATTTTTTTAGACTTTTCGAAGGCTTTTGACAAGATTAATCATCACCTACTACTATATAAGCTTAGGACCCTTAATATTGATGGCGGCATTCTTGCTTGGATCGAGTTTTTCTTAATTAATCGCTCACAATTCGTTGTTGCTAACAACTACAGCTCACCTCTTCTCCGTACTTCTGGTGTGCCCCAGGGTTCTGTGTTGGGCCCTTTACTATTCCTTATTTATATTAACGATTTACCCGATGTTGTAACTTCTTCGATTCACCTTTTCGCCGATGACTGCGTTGTTTACCGAGAAATCTCATCTAACTCTGACGCTAGTTCTTTGCAAAGTGACATTAATAATATTGCCAGCTGGTGTAGAACTTGGCAGATGGACCTCAACACTAACAAATGTAAAGTTTTACGTATCTCACGAACTACCGGACCCCCTGTTAACTACATCTTAAATGACGTTGATCTAGAGTCTGTAACCTCGTATAAATACTTGGGGATTCATATAACATTCGACTTGAACTGGAAACATCATATTACCTATGTTATTAACAATAGCAACCGTATGCTAGGGTACCTACGACGCAACTTTAGCCGTGCCCCTCAAGCCGTGAAACTAACCATGTATAAAACACTAGTTCGTCCAAAACTTGAATATGCATGCTCCATTTGGGATCCTTTTCAACTGAACTTGACTCACTCGCTTGAAATGGTACAGAATAACGCAGCACGCTTCATTCTATCTAACTACCATCGCACTAGCAGTATTACGTCAATGAAACAGAGCCTTTCACTACAGTCACTTGAATCACGTCGCAAAGCATCTCGTCTCATACTTTTTCACAAGATAATCAATCATCCACTTTTGAAAGCTCAGTTCATTACCACTCCTGCCTATTGCTCAGCTCGTTTAGATCATCAACATAAGGTACACGTCATTAGCTGCCGCACTAACACTTTTCATCATTCCTTCGTCCCACGCACATCCAACGACTGGAACCATCTTCCCTCAGACATGGTTTCCATTTCAAGTCACGACTTGTTCTCATCTACAGTACAGAATTACTTACGTGATGACACGTGAAGTGTATATTGTACATATATATTTTTGTACTCTGTTTTCCCCATTCTGATGATACTTACACGTACATTCATTGTACTGTCTAACATCGAATTTTCATGTTTTGTAATTTTTTATTATTTTGATGTTACTATGTTTGCTCTTGGTTATAGTTTTTTTTTTCTGTACCCCACTCCCCTCTGTAAAGCTTTGTGCGATTGAGGGTAAAATAAATGAAATGAAATGAAAAAAAACCACTGCAGCTTCGATCGTCCACAATACGCCTAATTCACAATTGAGAATTGCTCAAAAAAAATTCTGTTTGGTTTACCATTGTCATGCACTGACACTTAGCTAAAGTGTGTCCACATTGCGTATTCCTCCTGAAATATGTTGCTAGTGATGCTATTTTTTAGCTCAGCCTAATCTTGAGGAAATATTTTCATTTCTGCTGGTCTGGCGATTTGATCAACACGCAAAGGGCACTTGTTTTGGCCAGAGTGGTTTGGCTTTGTGCTCGACTTCGTCGTTCCAGTGATCCTCTGCAGGACTCTGAAAGTCACCACGGGCGGAGAGAGCAGAACAGCCACAATTCTCAACGGTCAACCAGCATCCTTCCTACCGAGCCATGCTAGACGGCTCAAAACTTTGGATGCATTGTCTGGCGGCGGTGGTGCTGCAGGCATAATCCTCGTTCGGGAGTGCTTGTATTCATGAGAACGAGCGCAGTTCTGGCGAAGTCTCCCCCTCCCAGCGCCACTTTTTGCACAGAATGCGGCACCGTGCAGCTCCAGGCAAAGCGTCACCTCCACCGCCAAGCCACCGTGCCATACCGGGGAAAGCTTTACCTTCTCCTCCAAGCACCGGGAACTGGTCTCGTAGAACAGTTCAAAACGTTATTTAAGGCCGTGCCAGTCCCATGTTTAAAAAATTTTGCCCCAACCGACGTTGTCGTGCTTTGATTTATATGTGGGGTTTAACGTCCCAAAACCACCATCTGATTATGAGAGACGCCGTATTGAAGGACTCCGGAAATTTTGACCACCTGGGGTTCTTTAACGTGCACCCAATTCTGAGCACACGGGCCTACAACATTTCCGCCTTCATCGGAAATGCAGCTGCCGCAGCCGGGATTTGAACGCACGACCTGCGGGTCAGCAGCCGAGTACCTTAGCCACTAGACCACCGCGGCGGGGCATGTTGTCGTGCTTAGCGGCTCTGTACGAACCATAACCAGCTATAGTAAACATTTCTACCTGTTGCTGTTTTCAAAACGATTGCCTCCCTATTCCACCTCTGGGCGAAGGTTTCAGCGAAGTCCGTTCGACTGCTCGCCACTTTCGGCTACCACTACCATCGCAACAAACCCTCATTCATAACAGTGGTGGCAGCGGTGGGATGTCATCGAAGCCGACTTCATAACAGTATATATTGCACATTTGTTAGTTGTTTCTAACCCTGAATAGCTAGTGCCACTTGTCCATATGCCAGTTTGGGATATGTCATTTTGTTTTACGAAGCGATTTTTCGAATATCGGGGCAATAAAACGCTTTATGAACCGCTAGAAACGAGCCGGGGAACGTTTGTTCGACATTCACGCTTCTTGCGTAAAAACCGAGGAGCAAGAAGCAAGTAGCTCGAAGCATCCCGTGGCAGACGCGGACGACGCGGAAAGCCGAAAGCAGATGTCGCGTCTCACTAGTGTAGCTCTTACGCCGCTGATTGGCTACGTGGCTCTCCGACAATCGGAAAGCGGCACGCAAATGGAACTCGATCTCCGAACGGCAAAGAGCGCCAGACGTGTGCCATGAAAATTGTGCGCGCACGGTGGCTTGAGAACGTTAAATGGCAAACGATGAGCCGCCGTGCCACTACCGTGGACCAGCCCTAAGAGTTGGAAAGCGTGGAAGTGGTCAGCAGAGGCTAAGGTATAACAATAAACTCGAGAAATTAGCAGACATGAAATAGAGTCTGGTTGCGTAGAATAGAGTGCTTCGGATATCATTGGCAGTTAGGCTTTCATTATGAAGTGGCCTTGATAGTTTACGAGGATGATGATGGTGATGTTTATGAAATACAGAAATGGAAGTCCTAAAAAACAAGCCTTGCTTCAGACCACTCGCAAATCTCTTCCGAATGAGTAAGAGTAGTAGTTTACACCACTAAAACAGTTTTTTTTCCCTATTGATATTGCAGGCGGGGGAGAGGACCCGCGTGGCCATCTCTACCTCGCTGTGCGGTCGCTGCGCTTGGTGTGGTGGCTGTCCGCGTTGGTGTTGGCGTATGCGATGGCGGGTCAGATGAAGGCCTGCCTTTCCATTCGCTCAGAGGTTGCGCGCATTGAAAGCATGGAGGACTTGGCTCAAAGGCCCGACGTGCGGCCGTTACTCTTCACGAACAGCATCCTGGTGGCCATGCTCAGCGTAAGTGCTTTTATATTTTTTAACACGAAATTGCTTTATGAAGTGGTCTACCACGGCTCCATCATGGATTTCTGTCATGGATATGACGTTGTAAAACATAATGACATATGTCAAAGTAACAAACGAGCAAAAAGAGTTTCATAGCCGGGCGTTGCACCGACGACTTGTTGCTGCGCAGAGCGCGTCGTGAGGTGTTGGACCATGTACGTTGTCCAGCTTAGCAGTACGCTGGCACTTTTTCTTTCTCTTCTCGTTCTTCTCGGTTTTTAAGCTTGCGCCACGCCTTTCAAATAACGTTGTCCAGCTCGCCAATGGCGAGCCATTTATATACTCCATATACCATTGGCAGTCCTCAGAGCTCTGCCGTTTTCGTCATCGGTATCGAGATGGCGTGAAGGGCGCGCATTGGGCGTGCGCTGTCATTGCCCCGCGTAGTTAGATGCGTGCGCGCGCCTTCACAGCATGTTCCTTGTGAACACCCGCTAATCTCGTGGTTCTGGCGCTTTGTATTTTATTTATGCTTCAACAGTTTCCTTCACAAATTTTCTTTCAAGTTACATTTCTTAAAGGGAGCTGGCTCATTGCCCGCCATACTTTCAGCCATTCTGGCTAGCACCTTAAATGTATTCAAAAAACATCGTGGTGACCGATAGCATTAAAAACAGTGAGTTGCAAGAATATTTCAGAGATAAAAAAGTCCTTGGTCTAATGGATGCTTTCCCAACATCCCAGAGTTCGGTCTGGGTGTTATTTCTGAAAACAAAATATTTTAAAAGTACCTCTCTTTTTTTGCACCGCATTTGGTCTATATATTAAGGAAAGGTGCTTATATAAGGTGCTTGAAGCTGTGCAATATTAAGATTAGCGGAATTATTTCACTTAATACGCCTACTAAAATGTGTTATGCAATATTTCTTTGGGAAACACTGCATTCGGTACGAATGTTTCAATCCAAAAGATGTAAATTATGCAGGAAAAATTTTTTAACACCTCTCAGGTAATCAACTTCAAGCGAAAAAATGAAAAGCTTCACAAAAATGTCATTTTGTTCACATTGAGGCGCAATTTACACCATGTAATGGACCAATAAATGACGTTTATACCTCGATCGAAAGAAAATGAACAATTTTTCAGGTACGCACAGATTCGTCAATACAATCCATGTTTTAATGAAGAAAACAATTTTTGAAATTTCTTAATAATGACAAAGGAGATCTTTAAGACGGAAGCTATCACATGACCAAAGGGAAAGATAGCTATCATTAGGAAACTTCAAAAATTTGTTTCTTTCTTTAAACAAAAAATTTCAAAGATGAAACTTGCCCTGCATGTAGAACGGTTCATTCGCTTTCGATTGAGGTATATAGGTGTGTTTAATTGGACCAGCGCACAGTGCAAATTGTGTCTCAATGTGGACAAAAATGACAATTTTGTGGAAATTTTCATTTCTAGTTGGACATTACCTGAAGGTTGTAAAATATTTTTTCTTTCAAATTTTGCCTTCTGTGTAGCAAATACTTATTGCTCAATATTCATATAAAATCCAGTATTACCACAGAAAAGAAATGATAACAAAAGACATTTTGGCTAAACTCTCCGAGGAGTATGTCGCAGAAAAAAAGGCACTAATATTGCTCAGCTTGAAGCACCCAATACAAGCACCTGTACTTAATATACAGAGTAAATTTAGTACAGAAAGAAGGAGCAGTATTTTGATAAACTAACTTCTTTTGAAACAGTTCGGAAAGCACCCACGTGACCAAGCATTTTTTTTCGCTTGGATATATTCTAGCAACTCACTTTTTTCAATGCGAAAAGTGAGCACGATTTTTTTCGCGTACATCTGAGATGTTAGCCAGAATAAGCGGGACGTTTCGCGTGGAATTACCCAGCACAAACGTCACTTTCATCGCTGCCGCGGCGGTGTTTACGAAATGAGTGCTCTGCTCACACGCGAGATACGAACTGTGACAGTTCGTGCCCCTCCTGTATTTAGTTGTGCGTTCGTTTTACGGTCTTTCTGTTTGAGCAGTGCGTTCTGAGTGTCAACCTGTGACAGTTGTTAGTCAGTCCTCATCTTGTGTATGCTCATTTTGTGCGTGTCTCCTGCGTCAGGTGGAGACGCTCTAGGTGCCGATCAGTGCGGACGCGCGAAGATCGGCTCCTGCTTTCAAGAATGCTTTCCTGTGGTATCCACGAATTTTTCGCCGAGTTTTCAGTCCCATCGTGTGCCTAAGTTCTCAAGAAAACAGCAGATACCACCTTTGTACTGGTGAGTGGACTTTTAAACCATTTTTGGGACATTTTTACACGGCAACGTGACCGGGATTTTAAGCCTAACCAAGGAGGCAATTTTCGCCGATGCGCCGACCCGGCGCCAACGTGACTCAACGATCTGCGCGTTCCAGGACCTGCAAATGAGAATGGAATACCATGTAGATGGAGAGGACATCTCTCCAGAGAATTGCACGGAAGACATGGGTTCGAAGGAAGCCGAAACGAGACGCTCAAGGAATAAACTAGCCGCGGTCAGCGTTTCTGCTGCCAAGGGTTCGACCAAGGCTGGCGTGGCGGGAGACGCTCGAGCCAGTCGTAGTAGGTATGACACAAAGCATACAATCGTGCGAGCTGGACGCATGCCGCCACTATCCAAGGACTTCAGCATAATTGTGCTACGACCAGGTGGAGGATTACATATCTCGAGAATTGGCACTGAAGCCGTGGCAGACGCGATAGTACTGGCGGCCGGCGTCAAAGAGGAGGAGGCCATGCAGGACATCATCTGTTCCAACTTGCAGCAGAACATTATGGTGGCAAGCACTCCGGACCACGACAGATCTTCAAGATACTCCAAGGTCAAGCAAATTGACATTGGAGGCAAAGTTTTCGAGGTTAGCGCGTACGCCGCGCCACCCCACGATACTTGTTAAGGAGTGATTCGCGGGATCCCCGTAAGCGATACTCGGGACATTTTGACCCGAACGATTGTGAACGCGAACAACCCGCTCGCGCTGCAGGCCAAGAGAATCAAGGACACTGAGACAATCATCATATCGTTCGAAGGACACAAGGTGCCCAAATTCGTGAGATATGGACCTTCACTTTTGCAGTGCTCTCTTTACCACAAGAATTTGTTACGTCTGTGGAAAGCTGGGACATCGGTCTGACGTCTGTCCGAACCCAGCTGAAATCATCTGCAGAGGCTGCGAGATCAAGAACCCAGATAGCCTGCACCAGTGCAATCCAAGATTCAGGCTGTGCGACGGTCACCCTCCCACGGCAGACAAGGAGTGCAAGAACAGGTTCTTAAAGCCATACGTCGTCAGACGCAGACGTCGGGAAAGATCGCGAGCAGCCGCAAAAGCCCGGGACGCATTAATCACATCGAGTCCAGACATCAACGACAAGCAGCTTATTTCAGCCTACGGGACCCAGAACATCCAGACTAAACAAGAACAGGAAAGGCGGTATCACTCCAGGGGGAGGTCACGTTCCAGAAGAGGTTCTAGACCCAACGCCCTCTCCCAACCACGGGGGCGCTCGAGTTCTCAAGGTCACCTTCAGAGTCGGGATCAGCCTGGGCGGCACCCGAATGGCCAGCTGCCGGGCGTTCAGTTCGAGATCACGGCTTTCAAACCGGGGAGGACGCCTGCAGTTACATCAAAAAGCAGCTGGGCTGAGTGAGAGCGCAACGGCGCGGCAGAGGTGATGATAGGTAAGCTGCCAGAGCATGATAGAATTGCACAGCTGGAGCAAGAAAACGCGAGACTTACAAAATCTAATGAGAAGCTGTCAGCTGAGTCAAATGAAATAAAAATTCATCTCGCTAAGCTAACCAGCACGCAGTCTTCACAGCCAATGCCTCAGCCAGTTGATGTCCCTGTGGCTGAAAACGTGGGGACTCGAGAACCACAAAAAAGGGCAGTCATGGCAGAACACGTGGAAGCCCACCAAACGACCATGTAGTAGACAATCTTAGCGAGCAGATGGGTAGGCTAAAATCAAGCGTCGCGGCACTGGAAGAGCATATGACTGCGCATTACAAAGGTCGAAGCATATCTGCACAACACAGCAAGGCCTCCTCATGCCCCAAACTCACTTCTTCGGCCATCAATACTAGTGGTACCAAACCTGTCGACAGGTGCACCATCAGGCTGAGGCGGCCCATGTATTAACCATGATGGCAGCGCTACGTGAAGCATTTCGTATCTGGCAATGGAACTGTAGAGGTTACCTTAAAAAGAAGGCAACCCTATAGCAGTATATCAGGAGCAGCCAAGATAAGCCTCATATTATATTATTACAAGAGACCTTTTCACCGCAAGCAATGTTGCCTGGATTCCGGCCTGTAATAGGGGATACTGAAGGGAGGGGAGTCTGCAACAAACTTCGTATGCAACAAACCTTCGTATGCAACAAACTATGCAACAAACTAACGCACGTAACCCACGACCTCAAGATAGAAGCAGGCCGGTTGGAACATGTCATGGTAGAGATGGTGCCAGGTTCCAGCAACCTTCAGAGCATTTTCATTCTTAATATATACAGCAGTCCAAAGTAACAAAAGCAAGGGTTCAAAACGGTTCTAAAAAAGCTGTTAATATCACCGGGGAATGTCCACTCGTCATAGCAGACGATTTCGACGCCCCTCATCATACATGGGGCTACAAGTACAACACTGGGGAAGGAAGTCGACTTTGGCGAAGTGCCAGTGAACTTGATCTCACCCTAACCACAGACCCCAACCTACCAACAAGGCTTGGTACATCCTGCTGCAGGGATTCCACCCCGGACCTTACATTTGTAAGGAACATCAAAAAAGCCCAGTGGATGAACCTTGCTGTAGACCTAGGGAGTGACCACTGCATTCTTACCACTACCTTCTCCGTGGAGCGTAAAAAGCAGAGAGAATTTCACTTCACAGACTGGGATAAGTTCAGGAAGATAAGGATGGAAAGGAAACAAGATGGCCACAGACAAGGCTTGGAGCATGGGGTCAA